AAAAAAAAAAAAAAAAAATCAGAATTTGTTCTGGTAATAGCCTGTATCTCTCACTTGCAATCAAGCTTCGGAACATAGGATTTAAAATGTTACATGTTAAGGATACCTTGAGTAACAGGATATCTAGCGATGTCAGTATTTAAAGCTTCTGCCTATCTCAGTGACATCAACTTACACCTCATTTGTAAAATGTTGTGTTCTCTACTTACCAAAACACATACAAAATTTATTTATAAAATGTATGAAAGGAATGTTCCAAAGCCTCACTAAACCTGTTATGTTCTTAGTTCACCAAACACAGTTATATTTAATACCTGGTGTCAGTTTAATTGATGTGATCCAAAACTGTAGTCCTTGAGGTTTAAAAAGTCTTCAGACTGTGCATCTACTTATTGTGAAGTAGAAAAATATGACCATTTATTTAGATGTTTAACAGGAAACTGAGTCTCTTTAGAAATTTATGGCTGAAGATTTGGAACAAATATTTTCCCTTGTCTACTGTGTAAAAATCCCACAGAAACAAGAATGAACAGTTCAAGCTTATAAAAAGTCAACTATCCAAATTCAGAGATACATCTGTCACAGCAGTGTGAATCATCATATGACATTGCCCCAACATATACCCCTCCATGATGATGGTGACATTTGGCTCAGTAATCATAGAAAATAGTAGCCTCTGACATTAACCTCAAAAGTTACTTGTCTCTTTGCTGGGACAAAAGGGGAATGAGTTGTTATGCACAATCCATGCAATCCAGTAAGGGCAGACAAATAATGCATCTACACAGCTGAAACAGAGACTCAACAGTCCTCTGTTACTTACAGATTTAAAAAAACCTAATGAAATGGGCAGGTGTAAGGCAAAGCAAGCTGACTATCTGAAGAAGACAAACATAACTCTTTACTAAGAAGAAAATGGAGCACCCTCAGGTTCTCAAACAAGTGAAAAACAGTCAAGTCTGGACCACCTTTCATTTAACAGCTTCAAGTTCTTAGTTCTTCTTCTCCTGACTAAAAAGCATCCTCCTCAATTTTCCTCCTTCAAGCTACCCGTTTCAACCTTTTTGAGCCAAATTCTCAGAAATGATCAAATTCATTCTGCATCTTAAACAGAGATGTCAAACACACCTGGACAAATCTGCTCTGTGGGGCTCTTCATGGGCCAAATATGGACATGGTGGCGAGTGGCAGCAGTGGGGTGAGTGGCAGTGACTGTGGGGGTTAACACAGCCATCACTACCAGCCTTGAAGGCCACACTCTACAGGCAGAATCTGGCCTGTGAGCTGCAAGTTTGACATCCCCAATTTAAAACGTGAATGGATACAAGAAAAAATTGATTTAAGCTTACAAGTACAATGTGTATATACTCTATGTGCAAGTAGAACTGCTTCTGTCTTTTTCTTTAGCATCAGGTGCTTTAACCATCACCACATGGATTAAATAGTCACAAAAAAAATTCAGGTCTGTTGCTGCTCCCCCATGTCACAGATGGTTGCTTGGATCCCAGAGTTGTAATCTCTGTTATGCAGCTGGCAACACTGTCGATTGTTCTGGGGCCCATTCAATAAACTAAGAATAATAAATTAAAAGTATTTCTCTGACAATTTCTTAATGAGAACAGCACATTCACGTTTTGGCTGAATGGTTCTAAAAATAAAACAGCCCTAAGAAGATTTAAAGGGCAGCTAATGAAAGCCTTCTTCATGGTGGAATACAAGAACATTGCTAAAGTATAAGCTGACCCATGGAGGGCTTTAGCTCTGGGGATGCTAGTCATAGGAAGATGGGAATCTGCCATTCAGTGAATGTTCAGACTTTAGGAGAAACCATGTTAGTGACCCCCAAATTCAGCTCATGCAGCACTAAATAGAGGGGTGCAGTGGCGGAGCAGGTACCTTGCTCAGTATCCTAACTGGGACAATTTAGGGATCCCCCTAACACCCATCTATTCCCTAGCCAGAGGCAGACCCTGGTGTACGCACACCTGGACTGCATGAGGCTGCAGCCTCTCGTCTTCTAAAACACCTCTTATTGAGCTTCTGGTTTCACTTTTCCCCATGCCTTTAATTTTATGCACACACTATCTGTAGCCCCACAAAGTCCTAGGACCTGCTGGTCAATCTCCTACTGGCCCTGGTTAAACTGTCCATCTACCTGACAAGGAAGGAGCTGCTGGCCGGGGGAACCCAGGTGACTGTGTGGCTGTCTTCCTTTCCCTCGTCTGTATATGTCTCTGAGCAGAGTTTTACTAGGTGGTATCAAAGGGGCAGTGGGTGCTAGGTCTCTGCTCAGTGTCCTCCTTTGGCACCCTAGTTATAACCTGCATTCTTGTTTCTGTTTTCTCATGTATTGTCTCAAGAAATTAGCCATCATATATTAAGTGGCTTCCCTCTAGCCATTAAGGGCATCTTGCGGTTTCCAGTGGGCTTAGGCCCATTTTCTTTCTATAACTAAAAGGCCTATCACCAACTGTTGCATGTGCTTCAGGGGAAAGAGTATAACAGGGTATGTGTAGAATGATCACATAGCCTCCTAGGGCCCCTATACATGTGTTCTGGGGTGGGGCGCGGGGACGTTTTAGTTAGAGTGATTCTCAGGAGCCGCCCTATATTAAAATGCCTACAGTGTCTTGTGTATTTAGCATCCTGTGATTCAAAATGGCAGTGGAGATGGCTTTAACTGAAGGTTGTCAAAATGAGGGGTTGCTGAATACATGAGATGTGGCAGCACATTAGAGCGCTCTGATAAGATTAGAAGGCTCCAGCAGACTCAATTCAAGTCTCTCCGATGGGCTCTAATCAATGCATCACAGCACATGCAAAAGTGCCCCCAGTTACTAACAGTCCTAGGTGTAGGGATGCCCCAAGTTTGAGGTCACACCCTTAACTGTTGAATTTTGTGGCCCCAATGGGACTGTCCTCCAAAAAAATACCTAATCCTTTTCTGGACCTGGCCATATCATTGGCCTCCCGTGTCCTGTGGCAATTTAATTATACACTTTGTGAAAAAATATTGCCCGTTGTGAGTTTTAAAACTACTGCTTGATAATTTTATAGGCACCCCCCTCCCTTTTATATTATACAGCACAGTGAATGACAGTTGCCAGTTCACTTTTTCCCCACACCATTCATGATTTTATAGACGTCTATGATATTTCTCTTTGGTCATCTCTTTTCCACGAGGACGTTTTGCTACAGCTCCAAGAGCATAAGTTGAAGTTGATGTCACCCAAGCCCATAGGGTGCAGGTCAGTGAGTCTGGAGTCAAAGGTGTCTAGAAGTGATGCTATTCACATCACTGCTTTGTGTGCTGTTGGCTACAAGAGACTGGCAGGCCTTAACCATGCCAGCCTGATGGGTGGCTCACTTGTTTGACTTGCTGTACTGAACATAGGTATAAGCACCAATTTATGGCTGTTTTCACATGGCTGTGAAAACTGCAACCTCAAAACTGGCTCATGTTGTTGAGAAAAGTAATTTAATTGCCACAAAAATGAAAACTGTGGGAGGAAACAAAGAGAGAAGTGAGTAAGACTTCTGAAGGGGAAGATAAGAAGAAGATGATGATATAAAATCACTTAGACCGACTGCCCACAGATTTCGAGTCTTTGTGTCTCTTGGGAGACACAAAGCCAAGAAAAAGGCTATGCCTGGTAAACCCCTCCACAGATAGACATGAGCCAGCAGAAACTTTGAGAAGCAGGATATGAATTAATTATAGACTTGGTCATTTATATTAAGAATAACTTGGAATTCAGTAATGCCATATGGGCACAGATTATCCTGGCTCCAGACTGGAAACTGCATCTCAAATTATTCTCAATATAAATGACTTTTCCAAACCCATCTGTTATTTATTTAATTTTACTGCTTGAATATGGGTCAATATAAATGACTGTTTTGACAGGTTGCAGAGACTGCTCCAAAGCAATGTATTTTAAGAAAATATCACATACTGTCCTGAATAATATTGCATTAAACCACTACCAAGATCATGTGGTAATAAGCCTACATGTCAACATTTGGGATAGCATCTATTGTCACATCAGCTAAGCCTTCATAACAAGACTTAATAACTGTGAGTCACTTGAGCTGTTCCCCACAGATAGCATTAGAGGTTTACTGCTGCTGCTCTCTTCCCAAGAGGATTAATGCCAACCTGTCAGAAACAAAACTAAACGAGTTGAAAGCAAACAATGAAAGCTCATGGGCTCCAACCTAAACAAAATAGATAGCCCTGCTGCAACTGGCTCTTCCAGTACAACCCAGGATTAGACTGTGACATCTTGACTCACACTGTGTGGTACCACAGCCTCCATAAAGAGCCCTGCTGCACTAATTGTAGCACTAAAGTAGTATGGGCTCTTCTTTTTGTCCACTAAATTAACAGCATCCTTTCTTTAACGCCTTGGGGACACAAGGCTAAGAAGAGCCAAAGATAGTAAACTATTGTCTTCCCCATTTCCAAATCAGCAGACATGGCTCTGGATGCTGTCTTAGAAGAGGTATATTGAAGAAGAAAATGCCATTTTTGCTTGAATATTTGTACTGCATTTTAGTGCTGCCATTTCTTATAGATCAAGTAACTGGCAACATTCACTGGATACATCATACTACAGCTATTTTTGTAATGGAAATACCTCTTCCAACACTACCATATTTGGGCACAAGAGACAGTAAATATGCCTGCTAAAAATACAATGAAAAGCTAAATCAAAGCCACGCATTCAAGCACAAGAAGAGCGTGAGGAGGATCAAGGACAGGCCTCTGCCCTGGACGAGCCTTCCCAGGAAGCTCAGTGGGTACGTACTTTGTGGAGCCACAGTGGAAGGTTTCCTGTGCCCTCCTGCCTTTGCTGCACAGCTGCCCAGCAGTAGGAGTCCACATAAGCGGCCTGGCGCCAAGAAAACGAGCTGGGTGCAAAACAGCTTATCTGAGTCCCTGAAAAGCAAAGCAGGATAGTTAAAGGTCAAAATTTAGGAGGAAAAAAAAAGAGCATTTGGGCTTTTCAAACACCTTAAAATCAGTGGTTTTCAGCCTTTTTTCATTTGTGGAGCCCTTTGGAAATTTTGACTGGAGGTGTAGAGCCCTTTGAATTGTAAGTATGTGTATTCACATACTTTTGACTGATCACAGTCATCTTTTGCAGACACCTTAGACAGTCTGTGGACCCCTGGGGGTCTGCAGACCACAGGTTGAAAACCACTGCCTTAAATCCATTAATCCATTGTATAAAGACCCCACCACCCCTACTACAAAACAGTAACAGGAACGGCAAGTTACTTATTCTTACTTGTGGTTCCTCACACCACTTGTTGGAATAGCACCCCTGGTTCTTTCGGCGTTTATGAATGGCACTCTCAATACATGCAAACAACAGTCCCCTGTGCTGGACCCCGTTTTTGCCACCAGCCCCTCTCATTCACTCTGTACAACTGGAAAAGTCCCAGTTCTACTGCAGGTTACCTTGTGTATGACTGACAGGGAGCTAGGAGGAGAAGGTGGCAGGCCTAAGTCTGAAGGCATTTCTGTCCCACCCATTTAGCAAGCCCTACCTATCTGCTCTTAGTCTGCGCATATTACATCCCACACAGGAGGCAATGCAGCTGCCTTTCGATGGCCCCGAGTGTGCATGAATAAGCACAACTGAGACAGACAGCTTAAGACTGGCATGTGCCTGGAATCACTCAAATGGAAGACAGGCAGCACAGGAGGAGTGGGACCACCTAGGTGGGATATATTTCACGGCAGGGGTGCTGGGCACAGCAGAGGCAGCCATGACGTGACCTTTGAACCAAATCCAAACCTAGCCCAGCTCCATTCACACACTAAGCTTTATCAAAACAGACTTAATAACAGTGGGATCATTTGGGGAGGCACGATATTTAATAAAGTAATTGCAATGCAAAAAATAAAGAAAAAAGTTTATGACTATTTAAAAAAAAAAAAACCCACAGAGAAATCAGTGCTTATTATATCTGCCGATAGGTTCCTTCCCCACTCCCCTCTTAGTGGAGAAGGAATAAGAATCATGGCAGGATTGCTTTGTAGGCTATGTGGAATGATACGCAGAGGTCATTTTTACAAAAGAAAGAGGGCCTGTTCTATTAAAAAAGAGCTAAATGCATCAAAACAGTGATCGGGTATAGACTGTACAGCACTGTGAACCAAAGACGGGTACAGGCTTCATGCACCACATGAACAAAAACCTTTATTATTATTATGAGTCATTATCGTAATTGTTTATAAGGCTGCAGTGTCATGACAACATGCTCTGAGCAGTCACAAGACTCTCTTATGAAAACAGTAATTTATTTATCGGATTTACATAGGGCTCAGATGGATTTAACAGGGTTGGTGCAGTGCTCAACCATTATATTCTTCAAAACTCCAGGGACTTGTATAACTCAGAGTTGTCCCCACTGTCTGTGGAAGACTAGGAAATACCATGTGGGTTCGCATCCAATTTGAGGGTCCTTCCACAGTCTAGGTATCAGGCTGCAAAGCTGAGCTCTATACCAGGGGTCAGCAATATATGGCCTGTGGGCTGGATCCAGACCACAGAGCCACCTGTATTGCCACTCCTCCCCGGGTGAGGGAGAAGCAGTGACAGCAGCAGCATGAGCACAGGTTTAGCTACCCAGGCCCAGCACAGCTCCCCAGGGGATGGAAGAAGTGCTTATGCCTCAATTAGGAAGTGGGGAGTTAGTGGTATGTGTGCAGCTCCCAGCTGCCTGGTCGTGGCATGAATGCAGGTAAACCCCGCTTACTGCTGACATACTACCAAAGCCACCGGGCCCATAGCAGACTGGAGTTAAGTTGTTTTGGCCTGTGGCTTGAAAAAGTAGCCTGCCCCTACTTTATGCTCTTCTCCCACAAGTTAGCAAGACTCCTGCTGCTATCAGTAGGGTTGCGGGTAAAACAATAGTAAAGCACACTTTCAGAAGACGGGCAAATAGGAATGTGCTGGGTTATGCCTGCCTTAATACCAGTGACATTAGTCAGAAAAACTGAACACAATTCTGGTACAGCAGAATCTCACTCCTTCAAATGAATAAATGAGAGACTCACTGCAAGTGACATTTTTGTGAATGAGTAATGGAAACTGATAAGAATCTACTGCTGTGGTCCAGCCATCTCAAATGTCACTGAAGTTGAGGGGAATTAAGGGAGTACTCTAACTTTTGTCATAACAGGAAAAAAGTTCTACTTAACACACATTTTTCTCTTTATTTGGGTATAATTTTAATAATTTGTTACATTATAACACTGTCACAACAATTTCAGGCAGGTGTCACTCCTTATCTCAGTGGTGTACCAGATAAGTCCCTGTGTAATTTAATAGTTCCACTAGTATAAAAGGGATTTTTACAGATAAGCAGAAAACCAGACACATCATGGTACTCAGGAGCTTGTATGTTTGGTGTTTAAACAACTATTGTATCGATTTTTTTTTAAACATTGTAGAGTTTTACTGATAAATTTATGAGTGCTTTATTAATAAGTTGGAAGAAATTGAATGTTTGTGCTAATTGCGCACTCAAGTATGCAGGTTACCGAGATCGACTGCATACTATTTTCATAATTTTCACAAAGAATTCTTATCAGTTCTTATCAATAAAACAGGTTTTTAACATAAAGGTATCTTGGAAAGTTGAAACTATTAACATATTTACCTAAAGAGCATGCTATAAAGGTTAAGGCCCTATTATGCAACACACATTGACTCAGGTAAATTAGTTTATGAAAGGGATATATGGTACAGTTGTCTGTGACAGCAGGGGCCTGGATTAAGTGACCCAGGAGGTCACTGCCATCCTGCACTCCTGTGTGTAATAAGAAAAAAAAAAGCAGTCACTGTCCAAAATACATTGTCTAGTGTTCATACATAAGAGACTGCTTGTGAATATGATAGAGAGTAGGGTGGACAAGGTAACAGCAAAATGATCTTATTATATGAACAAGCAGTCACAGCACCTCACTTTGCCAAATTTGCGAGAGAAGTTGCAAACATCAATGAAATTATATTTATAGCATCGTTAACATAAAAGGGTGGAGAAGAAGGTTAATTTATATATTAATGAAAGCAACCACCACAGAAGCAGCACTCTGCAGAAAGCTGCCCTACTGAATGAATGCACAAAACAGCTGCAGTCTTGTATTACAGCTAGAGAAGCCCATGAAGTGCCAACAGGGTGCAAGGCAGGCAAGGTTCCTTGGGTGAATCTGATATCTTATTAGACCAACTTAAATAGTTGGAAAACAATTATTAAGCAAGCTTTTGGGTTCAAAAACCCTTCGTCAGGCTAAGGCAGTTTCAGCAGTTGGTGTGAGCTCTTCCTGGATGGAATGAAAAGTAAAGAAGCCAGAGGCTGGTCTGGTCTGCGTACAAGACAGGTAGTCAGTGAAAATGTAAACTGAGAAGTCAATGGGTGAAAGACAGGCTGGGGGGGTGGGGAGGAGAGAAGGGGGATGGATAGTGGAGAGATACCTGGGGAGTCAGATGTCAGGCAAGTTATACTGTGTCATAAATCCAATGACTATATTTACTCCATGATTTTTAGTGTCCAGGAATCTGATGAAGTGGAGTTCATAGGCTCATCTCTGGGAAGTGTTTTTTAAGTTTCCTTTGAGGATCAGGACAGAGATTGGAGAGAGAGTGGTTTTCTTGGGAAAAATGTGCCCCCACAGGTAACTGGGTATTCCTGTCTTTGATAGATTTCTGGTGTGCATTCATTCTGGTGCACAGTTGTTGTTTGGTCTCTCCTACGTATTTTCCGTCAGGGCATTTGGTGCACTGGATGAGATATATTACATTTCTGGAGGTGCAGCTGAAAGATCTGGGAATGCTGATGGCTCTGTTGTGGGGTGCAGTAATTGTGGGGGTGGTGGAGATGTGTTGGCAGGTTTTGCATTTCTTGTCATGGCATGGTCTGGATCCATTTGGTGTGTTCTGGGCTTGAGGTCTAATAAAAGATATCAGATTCACCCAAAGTACCTTGTCTGCCTATGTCCTTAGACCAACACAGCTACAACCTACACCCCTGTAATAGGGTGCAAATCATTTTCACTAGCATACTTGTGATTACCAGCAAACCCACGAAAAGAACTTATTAGGGAAAACAGGGAATTACCTAACAGCAAGCAATATGAGTGCATAGTACAAGTCTGTTACAGTACCTTCCTAGGGCTGCCTTACGGACCATGATATTGTGCCCCAGCCCCACCCAACCCTTGCATGTCATCTGCGCTGAACTTGCAAGCAACCTTCCAGCTGTCTCTCTCAGGGCCTGAGCACTGTCCTGAATTTAAGGTCCCTACTATGGCACTCCAGCCTCTTTTCCCAGTAGCTGTTCCTTGAAGAGCCTGATGATAATCCAAATGTTGAGCACCTAAGTAATTTGGCTACTGGCTGGACCCCAGGAAAAGATGGCATTCCTAGAAAAAAAGTGATTGAGTGCAGGAAATCTGTGCTTCCTATGCACTTATATGAGCTTCTTATTCACTGCTGGACAGTAGGCACAGTACAAGATATGCAAGATGCTAATATAGTAACTCTGTACAAGAATAAAGAGACCACAGTGACTGCAACAACAATTGTGGCATTTCATTACAAAGTACTGTAGGAAAAATTGTCACTCAGGCAGTGCTCAGAAGACTTCAGATCCTTGCTGGCTGTGTTTACCCTGAGTCACAATGCAGCTTCAGAGCTAGCTGGTCCACCATAGATATGATCTCATTCTGATAAAACCAAGAAAAATGTAGGGAACAAAGGAGACCCCTCTATATTGCCGTCACTGACCTGACCAAAGCCTTTGACCTTGTCAGCAGAAAAGGCCTCTTCAAATTACTGGAAAAGATTGGCTGTTCACCAAAACTCAGCATAATCCGCTCTTTTCACGATGGAATGAGGGGAGCTCACTTCAGAGAGAACTGAATAC